GAAGCCAATACAGCACAAGGCGTAAAGCGCCGAGTGCTGTATTGGCTGTCGGGACTCCACCCCGAGTGCCGTTATCAGCCATACAGCACTCTTTACTGTGCTATAATTAATTTATGGGATATAGTGGGTGCATCAAAAGGCGTCCGCCAAATGCACTCCTAAAGAAGTTTTCTCGAGTCTTCAAGGTTGAGACAAAGCCAGCACAAACATTTAAAAGCTTGCAAGACAATTTTCTCTGCCACATAACACGGACTTGGCTGCCCGACGATCAATACAAGAACATCTCTGGGCACTGAAAGACAGCAAAATGCCGACAATGGTCGTAAAGGAGTGTTGTGAGTCTGTTCCGCAATAGGTAGAGCAGTTTCATTTCTTCTCTGGTCACAAAGAACTTCTCACCCAGTACTGCTAGCCATTGTGAAGCCAACTAACCGACACTAACTTCCGGTGCTGTACTAGTGCTGTATGCAATATAATGAAACAGGTGGTGCCTTTGATGCGCCCACGTAGTATACTATAAATATTGATATAGCCATAATAATACACCACTACAATACAGGAGAGTTGCATGTCAATATAGAAAAGGCAATAGAATAGAGCACAACACACAACGAAAGGAAACATGCTCAGATACATGTATAAAGTAAACAGTTATCACTAGCGGCGGCGCTAGTACATATGTACATGTACACGAAACAGCTGTAGCCAAAAAATTACCATAATAAGGACATCATGTGATTAGGCTGATACTAAATATATACTAAAAGTGGTATGGGTGCAGGAAGGGTATGCATTGTAAGGGTTCTGGGAACTATGTAATAAGTGTATTCATGAGCTTATGGAAGTATGGAATTTATAATTAGAGTAAAAGACGTAGAGAAATAATAGAGAGAATAGAAATGAAGACATAGAGTAAATTTATGTGTATAAAAGACTAACTCACCTTCTCTTTATCAACTTGTGCTGGCTGCTGCTGTGCTTTAGACTTATCCACTTCAGCATATAGATACTCCATATTAGGTGCTTGTGTTCTCTGTATGGTACTGGGGTCCTGATAGGTAGCCAGTTCAGCCTGAGGTTGAGGAGGAGGGTGTCTCACTGATCCTTTGTTTGGTTGTGCATACAGTTCCCCAGTGGTTGGCACTGCCTCTCTTTGAATGTCTTCACTGGATATTGCTTCTTGATATATAGGTTGACCTGCTGCAGGACTACTGCTATAATATAAATTAATATAAAAATTTTAAAACTTCGTAATTACCCATGATCTTTCTTATCCACTAGTGCAATAGGCTCTGCTGCTGAATCTACTAGAAAAAATAAAACACTATTTAAATAAATGTACAGGTATACACCAATTATTATTAATTAGTTAAAATCGTGCATGAAAGCAGCTCAGAGTAGCATATATGCAATTAAAGCCTACCTCTGCTACCTCGATTGAAGTTAACTACATACACAAAAGAAATGGGCCATATACATTTGCATTTCATTAGTATAAATAGCTAACCTGACTTGTCTTTGTTTCTGAGGCAACAGCAAATGACAATAATGATGTACACGGCTTCTAAAACGATGAGAATTACCCCAACTGCAATACCAACTGCAATACCAATAATGGCTCCAAGAGAAAGTGGACCTACATGTAAATAAAATATAATAATAGATTAATATTAATTGGTTTCCAACCTAAAGTTTATTCAGTAGTGGGTATAGGTAATTGTGATGGTGATGGTGTATCTTCATTAATTATTATGAAGTAAAGTTGTACAATAATGTATTATATAGTTACTCTTACTTGTACTTGTAGAAGTAGTGGTAGGAGGTGTAGGGGAAGGGCTAGGACTAGGAGTATTATCTTCACCATTGTCACCAGTAGGACTTGTCATAAAACCATTTACTTGTGATCCATCACAAACTTCATTTCCATTAACCACTAATGATATTGAATATGTATATCTTGTACTGGCATTTAATAAGCCCAATGTGATCATTCCATTTGTATCATATGCCACTGATCTAGTATCCATACTGCTAGTATTAAGATTATTCAATATTACATTAATATTAGACAATGGGAAGTTACTACAAGCATTAAATGGTGCGTAGTTAATCCTAATAGATTCATCAGTGATCATATTTATATCAACCACTGGTGACTGTAAAATGTCTGTATCTATACATGTACAATAGATAATATATTAAGTGTTACATTAATACTTACTGATACTAGCAGTTGGACTAGGATCACTTGATCCAATGACATTATTTATTGATACATTAACATTATATGTATCACTGCAATTAACTGGTAGTGACATTGAACAAGAACCAGGAGACACCATTGAACAGTTATTGTTAATACAGACAGTGTAGCTGGTACGAAGTGGAGTAGTAGCATTACCAATACTGGAACACTATTAGATAATAATAATGATGATGAAAAATAAAAAAGTCAATGTAACTCACATTCCATGTTATTGATGATATAAGTCCATCATTATCAGAATAATTAAGACACAATTGAGGAGGATCGGTTAGAGGAGGATATACTGAATTAAAAATAAAAACTACAATAGTACGTTGTACTTATAAAGTAACTTACCAGTAACTGGTGTCACATTAACGCTAGCACTCTCTCCTTTTCCAGCAATATTAACAGCACTAATATTAAACTGATATTCTTCTTGAGGATCAAGACCAGTGACATTAAATGATAGACCAGTTGTATTACACTGTCCTCCTGGACATGTACTATCACCAGAAGGTGATGGAGTAACACTGATAATATAACTAGTGATCACTGACCCTCCATTAAAACTAGGAGGACTCCATTGTAACATAACTGATTCAAATGTAATGGAGTTAATGGATTGATTTAATGGGATCTGAGGAGGAACTAGAGAGAAACTAGTAAAATCATTCAATATAAAGAAGTTCTTACATATTGTTACAAGGATGAGACAGCTTTTGGAGCCGTCACCAATAATATTAGCATCAATGCAAGCAACAGCTGTTCCATTATGAGATGTACTGAGTGTGAAGTCAAGACTAGAAGTAGAAGGCATTCCTCTTACTACATATGTAGCAGTGAATCCATCTGCCATTTTGATGTCACCTTCAGGGTCTGAACCTGCAAAGGAGATCTCTGAACCTGAAGGTAAATCCCAACGTATACTCGGTGATGGAGTAGTACAATTAAGAGATACATCAGTCCCATTAGCAACATAAGTACTGTTTAGTATGCGACAGCTTAAATCTTGTCCGTGAACTTCTGAAGGATAGATATACATTTAGTCAGGGACTACTCAGGGTACATACGAATAACAATACCTTTAGGAAACAAGATATAAGTCAGAAGGAGAAATAACCATGAAGATTCCATCTTGGCACTTGGCAGCTGCCGAGTAGGAATAGCTAGCTGCTGAACACTGTAATTGTATAAACATGTGGTCTTATTGTCATAGCAACAATCGATTGGTTTCCATGGTATTTAATTGAACCTTTTTATTAGTTTTTATTATCTCGAAAATAAGCAGCCGCGAATATATCCCGACCTACGGTAATCAAGAGTAGAAATAAATC